GCTTTAAAATGACAAGCATCTAAAGCGCCTCGGCAGTGGTGCTGCCATTCAAACAACGGCGTTAAATACACAGAACTTAATACGTCAGCCTATCATCAATCCCGTTACTTGATTGACATACAGGGCAACCAATCAGATGACAACTGAATCACCGCTCATGCCAAACAACTTTGCGCTTATGATTGACAAACAGGGCAACCAATCAGATGACAACTGAATCACCGCTCGTGCGCAAACAACGGTGCTAAGCGCTAAGCTAGTCAGCTTTAAAGGTAGGGGTGACCAATATGTCAATCGCGATCGACCCGGAGCCAGCGGACTGGTCCCAAGTCAAGCGCGAGCGTTGGAAGGAGGAAATGAGGCGGGGGGCGGGGGGGTGGACTTTCTATGTATGAAGTTCCGGCTGTCGCTCATCTCGGTGTGTGTGTGTTTGTGTATATGCTTGCACGTGCGCGATCGGGTCAATGACGGGAGGTTTGTCGCTTCAAAAGTCGATCTTCGGTCAAATATGTAGCAAGCTGACCCAAATAGTAAGTAACCACTGCAGCTCGTGTGTGTGTGTGTGTGTGTGTGTGTGTGTGTGTGTGTGTGTGTGTGTGTGTGTGTGTGTGTGTGTGTGTGTGTGTGTGTGTGTGTGTGCGTGCGCGTGCGCATGTGCGCGATGTGGCTCTTTGCAGTAACACAGGAAAAAAAATTGGCTCTTAGTCTCTGACTGGTGGGCCACCCCTGCCATAGGCCTTATACCCAGTGAGTTTCTCCATCTTCGAATTGGTTCAACTACTTTATTGGTTCAGCTCTTTGTGTATTGAAGCTTGATCTTTCTAAATGCAAAATGTTTTAATAAAAACACCCTCAGTTAATGCTCGATTTTCGATTTGTGACCCCCAAGCTTTTTCTGGTGCTTATTGGTCCATGCACCACACGGTTGCATAGCTTTGTTTGTTTGTTTGTTTGTTTTTGTTCTAAATTAACCCTCAGTACGGCTCCAGAGGAAGTGATGATATCTAGCAGTAGTTTTATTCAGAAGCTTGATAGTGTTACTGTTAAGAAAAAAAGACAGAAGTAAAAGTTGACCTGAGGATGGCTTTCATATTTGTGATCTAACTGCGTGGTGCAAAAGTAATAATTACCGGTAATCAAATGTGTATTCTGATGTTCTCAACATCCCAACTCCAGCAAGGCATGAATCAGTCTCACCGCATAAGCTAGCAGTTACTAGCTAGCAGTCTCTCGCCACGTCCCAGCCATCCTGTGCCTGTTCCACCTTGTCGCTGGTGATAGTATTACCAAGGCTTTGTAGTCTAAATAAATTCCATTTGCTTCCCTGCTTATAACATGCTGTCTGACTGCCTGACTCCTCAGCATTGTTAACATTTGCCATGGATTCCATGAGCTGGATAAAAGTGGCTACATCCCACAATGCCATGTGCCTTTCACATGGCATTGTGGGATCTAGCAGCCTTTATTCATCCGTGGAGAATGTGTGATGCAGTGAGACGGCGTCTTAACATGCCAGGAAGAGAAGAGCAATTATTGAGACTGCGAAGCCTCATTATCACCGACACCAGCGAGCTCTTCTACTGTGGTGGAACCCGAGCAGACACTCGATTGCTGGCTTAAAACTGCAAGTTAAGTGTCACTGGCTTCCATGGAGGGACTCAGTGTTTCGTGCTGTGCTGAAAGACTTTCATTTTATTTTATTTTTTTACTTGTCTCTTTGTTTGTGGGCACTCATGTTCAGCACAAATTTTCCGGCTAACTAACCATAACTAATGGAAACAGTAGGGGTGTTCCGATCAGGGTTTTATGATGCCGATTCTGAGACTGATGATCCATCAGGGTGATCGGCTGATACCGATACCAATCATGGATTTGGTGTAAAATGTTACATTTTTGAGCTACAACTACTGTGTTTTTCTGAAATTAATCAGTAGATTTATTAAAAACATTTGTTACATATTTATCCCTTCATTATTCCAAAACAGAACATTTTTTTCAAACGGTGCAGAAAACACACAAACTAATTATGACTCAGTTACTATGATGGTCTGTAACATATGGGGGATAAAAGGGGCAAATGTTATTTTCCCTCAGTAAAAGCAGCTAGTTGCAAAGGCAAATGTCCTCCACGATTGAACACAATAATAATCACTAGTCATGTTTACATGGAGCCTTGTATTCCTATTAGCATGAAACCAAATCACCAAATGGGATGAAAATAATCCACAGCACAAAAAGCAGGGCAAATAAGTGTGGAATTTCATTTGAGTTCGTAGGGGTGGCATATTCTTGTTGTCAATCCTGCTGGAGTGTAAGTTTGTATTAATTTCATTAAGTGTAAGTATAAGAAAAAACATTTCAATACCATTTATGAATAGTTACCATTTAACCAGTTTTCCACTGATCGATATCACTTGAACAAGAGGAAGAAATCTGACGCGACGCCATGTTATAGCATTCTGCTACACTGTAAATACCTGAATAAAGAAAGAAATACAAGACTGATTGTTGAGAACACTACAGCAACCAAACATGAATGTCGGGTACAAGCCCAGGCAGCGACCCCTGCCCATTGTGAAACTTTTTCTGGAGATCAAAAGTTTACAGCTAGGCTGAGCAGAGCGCTTAGATGCCTATGCTAGTCCACCGTTGGTGCCGACATTCTCATCAAAGGCAAAGGCAATGCGTATGCATGGAAAGTAAGCCGTAGCTTGTTCAGTTCTCAAACGATCTTTTCATGAGGCTGACTTTTTTGCCAACACCATCACTTGTGCTAACAGTGCAGAACATACATCTTTTTGGGGGGTTTGGGATGTCAATTAACATGGGTATGTTGCAGCACATGGCGTCGGTTCTCAGAGTGCATTGCGTGGTGCGATGCATTTAACTAATGAAGTTATATGAACGTTAATCCTTGTCATATAAGTGTGTGTGTCTGTGTGTGTTATCACTAGTTGAATGTGTGTCATATCTAACGCTCTCGTTTTATGTCACTTTTTTTTTTTTTTTTTTTAACAAACCATGACGTCAGATTGTCTATAAAATAATGACTTTCAGGTCACTTCCTCGTTTCAGTCTGCAACGCGTTGCTGGTGAACATTAAGTTATATGTAGGAACAAATACATGTTTAGGTACTTTATGTTAAGTCAAAGGAAGGAAATTATGGTGTAAGTTTTCCTGTAGTAAAATACGGCACCTTTGTTGATTGTTTGCAACTGCTGTAAATGGTGAGAGTACATATAGGTGAGGAACAATTGGACACTGAGGGTGATCGATCAGCCATAAAAGGCTTTGATCGGTGATCACTAATCACATACTTTTCCATGGTTGCCGATCCATCGGAGCAACGCTAGAAAATAGTTCTGTATTTAAAAAGGATGAAGCGTTGCATAGTGATTTCCTTGGTAATGTACCATGTGATTTCTCCTGTTTTCACTTACCCCTTTATTGTACCATATTTATTTTTAACACACACTGATAAAAATAAGGGAAATCTAACTTCCTTTTGGCACTGGAACCGATTAATTGAACTTCCATTCATTTTAATGTGGAACATTATTTGATTTGGAAACGTTGCAGGTTGTGAAGTAGTCACAGAACAAAATACTTGTATATGACTTAATTCAAAAGTAATCTGCAAGATTAAGATTTTCATCAACAAATTATCTCTCTCTCTCTCTCTTTCTCTCTCTCTGTCTCTCTCTCTCTCTCTCTCTCTCTCTCT